CTCGATCCTATCCTCTTTGCTAGTGGGACCGCGGCCCTGATCAGTTTAATATCTGCTCCGTTGTCCATCGGACCACATAAAAAAAAAAAAAAAAAAAAAAAAAAACAGATCACATGGTTGAGGGGGAGGGGCATACCCCTTTTGGAAATACCAAGAATACCCCAAGTACGGAACCTGTTTTCTTGGTTTGGGCTGCACAACAAAGGACCCGGGGCAAGGTCCCACTTGCACGGATTACGAGATTCTGACCGTTGATCTGTGCTATCTACGGTCAATATCTCTTAATTCGTGTAAGTGGGATCTAGCCCCCGGTTTCCAGCAGGTGGCGGTCCCCACCACTAGATGGAGCAGCCCTACAGATAAGCCCTCGATTCTGACGGTTCTCTTACCACAGCCAGGATAGAGGAATATCGCAAGGGCTATTGGGAAAAAAAAAAAAAAAAAAAAAAAAAAGGGACGCTGGGCCTGCTTGCTTTTCAGCAGGTGCAGGTCCCCACCAATTAGATTGGAGCAACCAGAAAGGCTGCTACCCTCTTCCGGCGAACACAACGCACCCTCATTTTGGATGTATCTGGCCCGAAATATAACTTGTATACTTTCATTTTAAGGGTGCGTTATGTTCGGGGGAAGACGGTAGTCAGGGCTGCTCCTGTCACCCTCCCCTTTGCCCCTTCGGGCTCATGGAGTCAGACGAGACGGGAGTGTGGTAGTCGGGGTAGTAGGGGTGTCCCGGGGGGGGGGGTTGTCGGTGTCTTCTCTGGAGCTCTCGCACTAGGATGAACCTTTGCCTGCGTGATACGACTTTTGACCGCGAGACGTGACTTTTGCCTCTGAGATTTGACTTTTGACTGGGTACCTGTTGGACTTCACAGTTGGACTTCACATCTGGGGTACCCACCATAACCTTTCTGAAACTGGCGCACCTGGCCAGGCTGGCCTCCGTCCGGCAGGGGACTTTTACCATGAGATTCTTTGGGTCTGCGTCCTCGAATGCTTTTGACTCTCGCCAGCCTGATTTCGAGGTCCTCTGAGAAAGCTTTTTTTTTTTTTTTTTGAAACGAAACATGCCCCCGCCAGTGTTAGTGGTGCTGATAAGAGCAGACACCACTACCGTCTTCCCCCGAACACAACGCACCCTCATTCTGACTGTATCTGGCCGGAAACATACCTTGTATACTTTCCTTTTCAGGGTGCGTTATGTTCGGGGGAAGAC